GCTTCCAAACATTGTAAGACACTTTTACAGGAGCAAAAAAGGACTTCGCAAAGCCATTGAAATGCATTGAGTCGGCTTCAATACATTCCAATGGAGGAAACATTGTTTCACACAGCGATGTTTCCTATGGGGATTTTCACTCAGCGATGGCAATCCGTTCCAATTGGAACAGATTAACCGGTTTTCAATGCATTCCTATGGGAAATGGTGTTTCACAGAACGATGTTTCACACAACGTTGATTTTTTTGGAACCAATTAACATCGTTGTGTGAGGCACCACTGTATATCTATGTTATGACTTGAATGGAACCCAAATGATGGTCACATTTAATAGCCACAATTTATAGGAAAGGGAAATGATAGCTGTATGTGGATGGCAATAGGGCGTTTTTTTACATGGATTTTCTTTGTTGAAAAAATGCAGACTTAATTGTTCTGTGAACTAAAAACCCACACCCAGTGCTAATGCTTTACTGCTAGCATTGTACCCTTCTCCTCCTCATTGATAGATGGCTACCTCGGGATCAGAGAATGTCTTCCTCCATAGTTGTAGCACAAATATTTTCCATATTACCATAATTTCTATTTAAAACTTCCTTATGCAAATAACTACATAACCAAGCTAGTCTCCTTGATATATAATCATGTTTTGGGTTGTGTAATTTGTTTATTTGTTCCTGTTTATGGTAGGAGCAAGAATCTGAAGCAGAGCCCCCCAGAGCCCCTGAATCAAAGCAGGGCCTCTATGAACTCTCAGCAGCTAATTTCAAACAGCATACAGAAGAAGGTAATGTGATCTTGCAAATTCTTTTTTTAAGCATGTTTATAACAGTGATCCAGAACTATAATGACTAAAATCTGTACATCACAGTGCATCAACATTGACCATTCGCTAGATCACTTGGCACTTTCGTGGCAGTGTTTCCACCACTCTTTGGCAAGAATGACAAAAGGCCCACCCGCCTTTCTTGCATGGAAGTAGAAGTAGCATTGTGGAAACTTCAGATGGTTCTCAAGAGTGGTGAACAGAGATTGCCATGAACCGCTGATTTGATGGTTTATGCCGGTCTGTTGTTTAACCAAACAGGTGTTTGGCATTTCCCAGCCCTGCCTTCTCTGGCAGGTGCCCACTCAGAAGCAGCACCCAGGGAAGCCAGGGTGCTGCCTCTGAGTCGATGCTCACTGGAGGAGGCAGGGCTGGGAACAACAACACCTGTTTGTCCATAGGACAGACCGGCACAAACCACTGAACTAGCAGTTCATGTCCATCTCTAGTGGTGAATATTCTGCTTACCTCTCAGGTCCAGCCTCAAGAAGAACCTGGAATTGAGTGGCCCTGGAGCCCAATCTTGAGGACCTGGGATCTGGTCCTTTGCATGTCTACTTGCTTCTGAAAAGACATTCATAATATAATGTTGCCTTTTGCAAAGTATTGCAGTCCTGTACATCTGGAATTATTTTGGAATAATTCCTACTGAACTTTGTAGGATGTGCTTCTTATGCACTTCAGTGAGACTCAATATCAGGAACAAATATAGAGAATTGCAAGTAAATTCAAGTGAGCTCCATTGAAAATAATGGCTAAAATCATGTGCAGTTACGTGAAAGGGGTAACTTTCAGCACTAAATTGCTGCAAATTAAGAAATCTCTAGATAATGTTGCATGTTGAATTGTGTGACTTGGTGTGTAACAGATAAGATTGACTTAGATATCTTAACTTTTGGCAGTTTGGTAATTTGGTGCCAAAATGTACATGTTTCACATAATTGCACAACCTTGCAGAGAGGCTTGTCCTCCCGCCTCCTGCCAGGAGTGGCTCACTGATTGTGATCTGTGAAGCAATTGGAAGAATCATGGCGTCCACAGCAGCGGCGGATTGGTGAGTGGACTGTCTGGCCCCATGGGGCGGGACTCTCGTTATCGCCACCTGTGCGGGGATATTTGTATACGAATACCCCCATCTCTAATCAAAAGCAGCTTCTGATCATAGCAAAAAGATGAGGGAAGCATGCAGGGTGTATTGCCCAAGAACTCAAAAGGCACTAAAAAGCATAGAGCTTTCATGGATTAGGATTAGAGATGTGGATATTCATATATGAATACGAATATCCCTGCACAGGTGGAAATAACGAGGGTCTAGTCCCATGGGGCCGAAATTTCCACTCACAATTTCACTGCTGCCACCAGCTCCACGGATGTTTCCTGTCACTCCGTTGTCCGCAATCAATTATCCAATAGATTCTACTTGTATGTAGATGTGGAAACTTTGGCATAGCTATCAAAATTGGCAAACAAAGCATTAATCAGTGTTTAGCAAAGTCCAAGCAACAATGATGTTGGATCCAGGTTTAAAAGTGAAAATTTTGGTTTTGCCTTAGGCTCACTGTGAGATCTTGGTACTAGTATTTTCTCAAACCAGTTCCCTCATTTGTAAGGCGGTGCTGCCTCTCCAAGGAGTATCGAGCATACCATAAAAGATTTTAAACCACCTCACAAAATACCTGGCATACAGGTAACATTGGGGTGGGAAATTCTGACAGATCAGAGAGCTAACTTCCTTTACATCAACCTACTAGGTGCTGCCTCAACTGGTGCATGCTACAAGAAAAATGGCATTTTTGGCTTTGAACATTCCTCTCAAACAGGACCCGTGTAGTGCATGCATCTTGTTTTAAAAGAGAGCTGTGATTACGCGAGTGTTGTTCTCCAAGAAAAACAAGATTGGTGTTCCTTGGGCACTTTGTTTATGCATATAAAGTTGGGGGGGGGTCCTGCTTGGCAAAAATAAACCGTGGGGGTATGTGGTTCAGGGAAGAGGGATATCAGCGGGAGTGAAAATCTACATAGAGACAGAAACTACAGAAAGGAGTGAATAGAGTCCTGCTTGCTTATCTCTACACTTTCCCTCCTCCCTCTCTCTTAAAAGGCAACCACTTTATCAAATTCTTTGCCCCTTGGTGTGGCCACTGCAAAGCACTTGCACCAACTTGGGAACAGCTGGCTCTGCTCCTTGAAAATTCGGACTCTGTCAAGATTGGCAAGGTAGGCTGGATGGACAAGTAAAGCTTGGCCTCCTTTTACTAGAATTACTGTGGTATTAGCATCTGTGAAGGGGAGTGCTCCACAAACTACAACAACAATAATAATAATCATATGCTGTTAAGTCAGTTCTGACTTATGGTTACCCTTTTCAGGGATTTCCAGGTAGAGAATAGTCAGAAGTGGTTTACTGTTATTCTTCTTCTGGGGGCATCCTGGGACTGTGCAGCTTGCCCAAGATCACACAGGCTGGTTCTACTCACAGGAGGCAAAGTGGGGAATCGAACTCCCAACCTCTGGCTCCACAGCCAGATACCTTAACCACTGAGCTATCCAACCAGCTATAAACTACAGAAACCTTGTTAACTCTGTGTTAGAATCTTTTGAAGAGTGAACAGCTGGCCTAGATTTTTTAAATTTGTTTCATGTGTCTTTGGGAAAATACGCCTGTACCCGTGTGTTGTAGGGCAGTTCAACCATTCTTATTCTGTGGCCAAAGGCATGAGCGGTTAATAGGAAGAGAGGCACACCAGGGCCTTGTTATTTTAAAGAAGGAAAAAGCAGGTCCTTGCAGCTTAATTTTATGAGGATGGAGCCCTTCTTTCCATCTTCCAACAGATCTGTGTGGGTGTTGGAACAGCTTTAGCTAACTATAAAAACAGGAGCAAAGTCATATTGTTGGCTTTCTGGTGGAAAAGATTGCTTCCCCAGCCTCTCTTCTATTGGGCATGCTCTTAATTTTTTTTTAGAAAATACCATAAGGGCTGGGATGTTTAGTGCCTGTTGGGTGGCAAAGTGCATATTGCAGTCAGATGTGTGAAGGAAAGACCCAAGACAATTTTGTGCGCATTTTTATTGACTCAGTGGTTACTTTTTCAGCTGTTGGGTGTTTTCTGCTCCGTCAAAAGAAATTTGGGGCAGAGAAGCAATTGCCAAAGTCTTATCCTGCTGTCCAGTCTTTGCTTCCAGCTGTTTCCTTCTTTTTTCCTATGAGGTTAGAGGCACACATATGCGAGGAATCCCACAGGGGGAAAAGCAGTTGACAGGAACAGTGTTAATAACGTCTTTGTCCCCAGTGGCATCCCTGCCCCATATGGACCCTTTTGAGGCTCATTTCCAATTAAAAACAAAACACAGCACCATTTCTGTATGCAGCATGCAGGAATGGGGACTCAAGTTGTGGGACTTGCTGTCAAGTTGGACTTAAGTCGCACTGTTGACTTAGACTCGACTTGAGACTTGGAACCCATTCAGACCCTTCCCTTTCTTTCTGGGGAAAAATGCTTCTTTTTTAATTAGACTTGGGGACTGTGATTCAGGACTTGGTGCCAAGGATTGGGACTCCAACCCAGAGACTTGCCGACATCCTTGGTAACAAGTAGTTATCTCTGGTTTTCTGCTTCCTAAAGGCTAGGCCAAGTGCTACATGGACCATCATTTTGTGATGCTAGGCCTCCATGCACTGGATGTTCTGTCCTGGTCCTTTCATTTTATATGAAAAGGAAAGTGTCTTCCTTTTTTCCCCAATTTGGGTTTTCTGGCATTCTAAAAGCCCTGAACAACCCTTGAAAACTACTCCAAAAAGCAGAGGCAAGTTGACAGAGAATCAGTCTATTCGATTAACCGATTCAAAAAGCACTAAAGCACCCTAAAATTGGAAAAGTAAAAGCAACAATGTTTTCAGGCAGAGACTCTCGAGGTCTGAACAGCATAATAGAAAAAAGACAAGGAAACACAGTTGACATTTCCGCCGCAGTACTCTTTTTACATACAGTGGTGCCTCGCATATCGACGTTAATCCATGCAGCAAAAATCGCTGCTAAGCGATTTCATCGCTATGCAATTTTAAAAAGCCCATAGAAAAGCATTAAAACCTGTTTAATGCGTTCCTATGGGCAAAAAACTGACCTTAAAGCAAAGATCCTCCATACGGCGGCCATTTTCGCTGCCTCTTAAGAGAGGACTCCATCCCTAAACACAGCGGGAGGCCTTTTTTTTTTTACCCGGCAGCCATTTTGGAACCGCCGATCAGCTGTTAAAAAATCATCGCATTGCGATGATTGGTAAGCAAAACAGGGAACCAATTATCACAAAGCGAAAAAAACCCATTTAAAACATCACAACGCGATCGCTTTTGCGATCGCAAAATCTTCATCGCTATGTGGTTTCGTCGCTAAACGGAGCACCCGTTAAGCGAGGCACCACTGTATTTTGCTAATCCTTTTCCATCTCTCTGATCTGGAAGAGTGTTATGAGTCATGTGTTCTCATCTTCTTGCAAGCGCCAGAGTTCTCTTTTCCCCCTTGCTATGTATAGTGATTTTTGTTCTGGATTGTCTTCTATATTTATTTTGCCATGACCTGCTTTTTTTCCTACTATTTGTTCTACTACTCATATGTTAAATCTTGTCATTCCTTCACTGTATGTGTGTTTGTGTGTTCTTTTCTGTCTTTGATATTCAATTTTTTTCTGTCCCTGCCTTGTTCTTCTTTATCTCTGAAGTTTCAAAACATTTATGAAATTTTCAATTAAAAAAGGAGACTTTCTGCTTCTCTTTCAAGCTTTCTTCATCTTTTCTTTCACCATTTCCTGATTCTGCAGTACCATCATTTGTTCTATACACTTTCTCTCTTGTTTCCTTATATTGTCATTTTCTCCTCAGCTATATTTATCTGGTTTTTTATTTCTATTTTTGTTGCTGTGTTGCTTCTGAATATCTCTAGTGTAAATTGAAGTAACACTTCTCCCTTGAATTGCACAGGTCCAAATAGCACATTTTTTGTTATAGTTTTTTTCAATAAATAAATACGTGAAGGTAAAGGTTCCCCTTGACATTTAGTCCACTTGTTTCCGACTCTAGGGAGCAGTGCTCATCCTCATTTCCAAGCCGTAGAGCCAGCGTTTGTCTGAAGATAGTTTCCGTGGTCACATGGCCAGCGCGACTAGACACGGAACGTTGTTACCTTCCCACCGTGGTGGTACTTATTTGTCTACTCGCATTTGCATGCTTTTGAACCACTAGGTTGGCAGGAGCTGGGACAAGCAACAGGCGCTCACTTCATCACCTGGATTTGATCTTACGACTGCTGGTCTTCTGACTTTGCAGCACAGAGGCTTCTGCGGTTTAACCCACAGTGCCACCAGGTCCACTTAATAAATACATAATAGTCAATAAATAAATATTCAATAAATACTGTGCCCCTGGCCACTCAACCCCACGAACAAAGGTGTTAAATTGGTCTGCTTACCCCCAAACACATCTCTAATTCAGCCTCTAGATTGGGGTCATAAGGACCTTTAAAGTTACACACAGTACCATTTGGAAAGGATTGTCAGTGCTATGGAAGAAAAACCAAAGAGAGAGAGCTGTTTTGTATGTGTGTTAATCCAGCATTCCTCAACCTTTTTAGTACTGCAGACTGACGGAGCTTCTGAGGGAGGTGGGGCGGCTCTTAGTGCTTGTGTTCTCCGACGCACGTGTGAAGTGGTTGGGGAGTGTGCACGCTTTCCCTCACCGCTATGCACAGGAGTGCCTGCCCACCCGCACGCTCACCCCACCCCTGCACATGAGCGCATGCTTGAAGGGGTGAGGGAGTGCGTGCCGGCAGCGGCAGCGGAAGCCTGGGAGACTTTAAAATTATTTTACTAAACCTTTTTTATTTTACTCCTTGCTTCCCTCCGCGGGAAATTCAAATGCAGCCACTGGTGCCGCGGTTCCAGAGCTGGAGGCACCAGTGGCAGCATCGGCCTGCTGAAGGCAGCGAGAAGCGCCTACCCCGGCCTCGTTGGAACCCGCCGGGAGGAGAGCAGCTGGAGCACCTGGCCATGCCCTGCCTCCCGGCTCTTGCCCATCCCCCCATCGCCGCCGCTGCCAGAAGGAGAGCAGCCAGAGCGCCCGGCTCTTGCCCTGCCTCTCAGCTCCTGCCCACCCCTCATCGCCTCTGCCATCGCCAGGCCACAAAGGCAGACCTCCCACCCACCCCGCATGCGCTCCCCTCCCCACAGCTGCTTTGTACTTGGGGGCGTTTGCATGAAGGGGTGAGGAGCGCTCACACCGGCGCTGACACGTGCACACGCAAAGCAGCTGTGGGGGGGAGTGTGTGCTGGGGGGAGGTCTTCTTCGCGGCCCGGTCAGGCTCAAGCCACGGACCAGCAATGGGTCGCAGACCGGGGGTTGACGACCTCCGTGTTAATCAACTGATTATGCTTAGTAGTTACATGGAGGGGTAAGAGTTCTACAGTGGACCCTCGACTTACAGACGGCTCGACTTAGACTTTTCGAGTTACAGACTTCTCTGGTTGCAAAATTTAGATTTGACTTGCAGCCGGAGAATCGACCTACAGACCAGAAAAAAAACAAAATGGAACAAAAACAGCCGGTTACGCGATTAATCAGTTTTCAATGCATTGTAGGTCAATGGAGACTCGACCTACAGACTTTTAGACTTGCAGCCCCTGTTCCAATACGGATTAATTCCTTAAGTAGAGGGTCCACTGTACATGGATTTTGAACTATACAGGGGTCTAATGCCTCTAACCCCAGCATTGTTGAAGGGAGAAGTGTACTTCATTATGAATTAACACTTTTGTTCTGTTTTTCTCCTTCATTTTCTGTTGGGAGTTTGAATCTTCACTGTGCCTCCTTGACAGACACTGGAATTGGTGATCCGTAAGGTCACTTCCAGCTCCGCAGTTCTACAATTATGATGATGATGATCATCATCATCTCATTTAATATTCCTCTCTTTTTTTGTTACTTCTCATTGCCATTCTAAAGCTCCATTTTGCCTTCCTGGTAATCTGAACTCATGAGTTGGGGACCTTACAGTTTTTGGACTCTCTCCTTGAGACATTTCTGTTCTGCTTTACAGTATACGAGAACTCTGAGGTAGAGTTCTGGAGAGCTTGAACTTTCACCTCCATTTGAAACATTTTGGCGATCTGATAAAGATACTGCTTCATCCAGAACTTTAGACCAGCTTATGTTTATGTGGCTTTTACTTGGTCCTTGTGAATTAATTGAATTATGCTAAATTTTAGGTTGACTGCACACAGCATCATGAAATCTGCTCAGCAAACCAAGTCCGTGGTTATCCAACCCTCCTTTGGTTCAAAGATGGAGAAAAGGTAAGGTGATTGTGAACTAGCCCGGTGTGTGAAATAGGACCTTTTAATGTCTTGTGTGACACATTTGATTGGATGAGCTACAGGCCTGTCCTAGACCTGATAATAAAAATCTGATTACATAGCCGCCTTCGGTTCTTTTTAAGGAAAAAGGAGGAATAAAAATATTTTTAAATAAATAAAATAAAAATAAATCGTTGGTGAAATGAGTCTTAATGTAGCCACAGTCTCTATGAGCCAGAAACTATATAGTAAAATAAATGGGCCCATGTTCTTGGGAATCTGGCTTTGACACATAGATACCTAGTTTTACATACTCATCAAATGTTCATCTCTGAAGGGCTATTTTCATACAAAGTTGATAAAGAGGATGGGCTCAGTAACAGGTCATACTGAGTGTGTGAGAATCATAATCCTCACAAAAGGCCTTCAGTGGTGGTAATCGTTGTGCACCTGGAGAATTCAGTTCACAGCAATATGCATTATCTCTTGGTTCTTCCTGCTCCCCTGCAATATCTAGGCTCCTTCCCTTTCTCCCCCTGCTTTTTCTCAGCAGCTGATGTCTCCTGATGCCCCATCTTCAGTCTGATGCGTCAGCCAAATAGTGTCCCTTTGAAAACTCTTCTTGAGACAGCTGCCTGGATTTGCTTCACACTGAGGCAGACCTCCCTATGTTACTTAACAGATAACTCTTGGGTTGGGCAAAATATCACTAAGGTGTGGATTTGAATGAAATGAGTGAATGGATTTGTATAATGGCATAAACTGACTGTTTATGGGCTGTGGTGGCATTTTAAATGGGACTTTCAGATATGTTTGATAAACTTAATAGCCCACATGACAATTGGTTCGTTTCCAGGCTGACCAATACAAAGGAAAGAGAGATCTTGACTCTTTGAAAGAATATGTAGATTCCCAGTTAAAAAACACCAAAGATGCCTCAGATGATCCTAAGCCTACTGAAACACCACCAACACTATCAGCCAAAGAAACCACTGAGGAAGAGGTAGGTGCTCTTGAATTAAAGTTGGTTGTAGTTGGCTTCAGCAACACCGACAGAGTTCTGGTTAAATGCTTGTAAGAATTTGCAAAAGGTTTTTATTATTGTGAATAAAGCTGACAGTGCAAGAATGAGTTGGTTCATGTTTTTTTTAAAACTAATAATTGTACATATCAGGTTGCTTTCTGAAGCAAACAGTTCTTGGCTGTTCATACAGTTTGTATAGTTAAACACAGTGTTCACATCCTATTGGATGGGACCGTATATTTATTATTTTATTTATATCCCGCCTATCTGGTCAGGTCAGGACCACTCTAGGCGGCTCTTGCTGCCTTTTTCTCAACTGAGTGATCATCTTTGTGACATCACACTTGGTTGCTGGAGCCAGAATGGTCCCAAGTCAGTCCTGTCTTGATTGGTGACACAGCAAAAAAGAACAGGAACAAATGGATAAAAAAGGAGGAATTACAGTAAACCAGGTGTTGAAAAGACAAAGAAGATGAAGTGGTGGTGGTGGTGGTTGGTCCAGAAAAACAAATACTGCTCTTAATTTAGGCTGCAGTATGCCTGTGCTGGATTTTGAAGGCATGTAGTGTAGATTTCAGGACAGGTGGGGATAAAAATTAATTGGGATGTCTGTGACTGTAGTTGTGTATGTCTTTGAATTCTGTCCATTTCCACATATTTTTGGCCATTTATCCAGTTATAAATCAGCTGCTGTAGAAACATTTGGCCTCCTTCAACAAGGGCAGTCAGAGGGCAGGGACTTTTTCATGAGTTGTCAACACCTTATCAAAAGGGTGTTGTTTGATAAGGTAGGAGAAATCTGCCCAGGAACATTTGTGAATACATCTGGTACTGCTTGTCTGGTGCACCTTTTAAAAAAAAGACATGAGTGCAGTGGCTTTAAAGCAGCAAGAATTTTGCATCACCTGTGAATGGTGCTAAAGAGCATAAACAGTTAGCATTGTGTAAAGCAATTTGACTCTGTTCCTCCTTTCTTTTGACAGAGCAATGTCCTTTCTCTCTCTGAACAAGACTTTGATAAAGAAATTGCTAATGGAATAACCTTCATCAAATTCTATGCACCATGGTAAGTTTTCAGGGAAGATATTTCAGCTTATAGGCGTTTCAGTTTCTTTTTTCTCTTACAATTTAGTCCTTGTTCTGCACACCAGCCCAATTCACTCACTGAACCTGTGTAGCCAGAGACTCATGATCAGTTGGTAGCATTTATCCAGAATTAAAAGTTTTATCTGGAAGTAGTTGTTCCATCTTTGTGTCATCCTTGAGAGGAGATGACATAATCTGTAAGGACTTTTTAATTTAGTTGCCGTGAATTGTGTGCAGCTGCACATCACAGGCAAGTGTGAGAGCGTTCCTTTTCAGGGTTTTTTCAGTGGTTTAATATTTTGTTGGTACATTGTTTTGGTACGAATGATCAGTTGTGTGCAGTACACTCAGATAAAAGATAAATAATTCATTTATGGGTCAAATACAAAATAATTAATCTATGGGTTGCCAATTTGATTCCTTCCTTAACATTTTCTACCTGGGTTTGTATTCCTGATGACAACACACATAGAGAGAATTCTGCCTTTCTTATTTTATGAGTAACTACTAATGTTCTTTGTGACATGATTATATTGGCCTTAAAACTGGTTTCAAGGACAAAAAACATTGAATGAAGCAGTCTTTACAAGGCTGATATTTTGGTTAACTGGCTAGTCAAATATTGTGTGTTTAGCAAGTTGAGATGCAAAGGCATATTAATTAAGGCTTGATTAAGCCAGGCACAAATTCCTAAAACTGTGTGCAAGAGTTGGACGAGAGCACGAGTACCAGCTCTGCTCCTGATCTTTCTAATTCCACTATTGTTAATGGTTATAATGCTCTGATGTTCTTAAAAACATCTGGGTTATTTTGTGGGTTTTTTTAAAAAGAGAAAATAGCAGTGTTAACCATCCATAGAAATACAGTTCTGGATAGACTAATACCTTTATTGGATCTTTGAAAAAAGTTGTAAGGAGAGTTTTTGAGTTCCCCAGAACCTTTTAATTTCACACTAACAGTTTAACCACATTTGCAGACAATATGTGGAGTGATTTCAGTTGTTTGGGAGGCATGAGTGTGATTTTCTAAATGTATGTGAAGTTCTTATGAGCTGCTTCATTTTTCTGATTGGCTAGAGGCCACCATTTTCTTTTTCATTTATGTGGGTAAATCACTCAATTCCTTTCCTCGGTGTTTTAACTGTACTCAATTTTTATATAGATTTCTTAGAGGTGAATACTGTATTATTCTCCTGCTCATTTCATACCCATTCCCAAGCCTTGCTGTTGACATTTTTTGGTCTCATGGCTGATGCTAAACTCTTAGAATCTCAAGATTTTAGAACGTATGTGTAACCTGTAACATGCCTATTCTGCTGCTTTACAAAATTCTGACTGAAGTGGTGCTTGTAAATTTCTTGTGCTGTCCTTAGTACATGCAAGCCCAGAGAGATAAGCAGAAAAAGAGAGGGGGAGAGCGAGTTAAAAATGTAGATGGGTGTGAACTCAGAGAGAGTGTAGAGCTACATATTCAATACTGTGAGATAGTGAGCTGATTCTGGAATGAGATAAATCACTTTTTTGCCACTTAATATTGATTCCAGCATGAATAAGGACCCACAGACAAGGGTCCTCGAGACTCACGCCTTCTCCCTGTTTCTACCTGCCTTTTCACTTGCCTGCCGCTTTGATCCAGAAAACACTGTTAATGCAAAGGAAGAGCAGAAGATGCCACTGCCTGCTTGTTCGCTGTCTCTGCCTCCTAAGCAAGGAAGTAAATTATGAGAAAGAAGGATCAAGAGTAGAGATGGAGGTATTCGTGTATGACTACAAATATCCCTGCACAGGTGGTGATAACAGTCCACTCATTTATCTGCCGCTGCTGCAGATGCCGCAATTCTTCCAATGGTTCCACAGTGTGCGATCTGCGAACACTGCCTGCTTGTTCGCTGTCTCTGCCTCCTAAGCAAGGAAGTAAATTATGAGAAAGAAGGATCAAGAGTAGAGATGGAGGTATTCGTGTATGACTACAAATATCCCTGCACAGGTGGTGATAACAGTCCACTCATTTATCTGCCGCTGCTGCAGATGCCGCAATTCTTCCAATGGCTCCACAGTGTGTGATCTGCGAAGCCACTCTTCAGCCTTGCAGAGAGGCGTGTCCTCCTGCCTCCTGCCAGGAGTGGCTCGCTGATCGTGATCTGCAAAGCCATTGGAAGAATCATGGCATCCGCAGCAGCGGCGGATTGGTGAGTGGACTGTCTGGTCCCATGGGCTGGACTCTCGTTATTGCCACCTGTGCGGGGATATTCGTATATGAATACCCCCATCTCTAATCAAGAGCAGCTTCTGATCATAGCAAAAAGATGAGGGGAGCATGCAGGGTGTATTGCCCAAGAACTCAAAAGACACTAAAAACATAGAGTTTTTATGGATTAGGATTAGAGATGTGGGTATTCGTATACAGATACGAATATCTCCGCACAGGTGGAAATAACATGGGTCTGGCCCCATGGGGCCGAACTGTCCACTCGTGATTTCACTGCTGCTGCTGGCTCCATGGAAGTTTCCTATCACTCCATTGTCCGCAATCGATTACCCAGTGCTGGCAGGAGGTGGGATGACAAGCCTCTCTGTGAGGTTGGAGATGGCCAGTCCGTAGCCTCTGCGGAGCCGGTGGCAGCAGCGAAATCATGAGTGATTTCATTATTTCCACCTGTGCAGGGTATCATATACGGATACCCCATCTCTAATTAGGATATCCAAACATAATCCAGCATTGAGTAAAGTCATGAAAATCAGTCAGATACAAGTTAAAATTTGATTTCATTGGGACAATTTTGACTAAACCTGAATGGAACTGAGGTAACCGCTAGGACGGACGGGCCACGTGGGTTCTGGGGGGGGGGTCCTGGCGGTCTTTTAGCTCCCGAATATTCTGAGGCCTCTGCGCATGAGCAGACTAAACCCATTAGTGTGCATTCACAGGGGCCACAAAGAAGAATCAGTCAGATACAAGTTAAAATTTGATTTCATTGGGACAACTTTGACTAAGCCTGAATTCAACCTGCTATATACTCTGGACTTTAATGATTAGCATGGTATTCCAGCTTTCTACTGAAATGGGCCGTGTGTGTGTGTGTGTGGCAGAGACTTGCTAAGATCACCCAGTGACTTCATGGCTGACAATACAAGTGAAATTGAATCTTAAACCTAATGTACTGAAACCGCTGGGGTTTTGCACCTACATTCCAGTTACCTTGGAATTTCTACCTGCAACACAGCGAATGAGGGAAGAGCCCTGGACATTTGGGGAGGCTGTCCGCTTGTGACATAGGAGCCCTCCCTATGCATTTCGTCTATAAAACCTACGACGGTGCGAAGTCCAATCAGCAAGTCACACGTGTTCACAGTCAAACAGCAGATGACTTTTTTTTAACTTCTCGAAGGAAACACTGTATCTCCAGAATTCATTGAGCCCTTTCAGCAAACCGTAGCAGCAAGCTGCACTCCAAATATAGCTGCCATTCTCTCCTGCCTTTATTCTAAAAAGGGCATGCCACAATGATGGCTAAGTACCCAGCAGCGAGGGCTGTGTTAAAGATACTCTAAATGTCACCCAACCAATCCACTTTCTTTGCCAGCAATTCTTTCCACGAAAAGCTGCAGTTTAGGCTAATGTTTACTACACAAATAGCCACTATACTATTCCTGGCTCCCTAAATCATGTACACAATTATAGTTCATTGTATACAAATTGACCTTTTGCTCTTCCATGTCAACTGTTTTATGTCTGGCTAAGCAAGGACAAGTGTGCTGAGACCTCCTTTTGTGCTTTACTTTGTTTCATGTACAGTAAATATTGCCATTGGTGTTAAACTGAACAACAGTGGAAGCAATCTCATTTTATAGTTTTCAGTATGTATGGTCACTACCCTGCAATGCATATGCTGCTGTATAATGCTAAGATGTTTCCAGAAGTATATGTATTGTTTTTAAAGTAGATAACACATTTTTTACATTTTTATTACAATTGCTTTGAGTGAAGGCATGCAGTTTATATCATAGCAGTGGAGCAAACGATCCAGAATTAAGATGTTTTTATTTCTCCATGGTTTAAAGGAATATAGTTCTGTGCAGGTTGAATTTGACTTTGAGACTGCCACCTCACATCTACTTTGTATCTGAGTACTGTATTCATTTACCTAGTAGTGTACAGGCTCATTTCGGTATAATTTATTGTGGACATGGTCTAGCAGGCAACTAAGTGCAGTGCTTAGTTTTTTTGGAGTTGAACTGTGTAAAGATCAAAGTGCTTAACATCGGCTGGATAGCTTCCTATGATGTTGTAATATAGATGGATGTTCCATGGCAAATAAATGTTAACCGAAAGTAAAATTCCAGATCTATCCCTGTGGCATTTAAATTGGCAGGCACATGAAATATCCTAGCGGTGCATACTTAATGTAGCTTAACTGCAGTCTGGTGTCATTTAAGAAAATTCTGTTGCCTGTAAGTTCAATTGTGAGACACAGAAATGCAGTGAGGAAATCAGTTTGTTCGAAGAGTGCTCCATAACGCCCCAAAAATGATTGTTTGGTTCATGGATGCACTTAGTTTTATTTCTGCATCTGTTAAAATGAGGACAAATCAACAAGTGAGGAGAGGGGGAGAATGCCTGTGAAAGCAACAGATGCATTAAGGTATCAGCTGTGATTCCTTGTTTTTGAAATAAAGCTGTCCTTCTCTTTTTGCTTTTTTAGCTCTTCTTTGAACTGATGGAAGGAATAATGTAAAGTATAGGTTTTAGCTCCATTATTGCATAAACAGTGGCTGAAATCCTGTTGCTGTTAATTATGCCACATGAGGCTAATGTCAACCATGAAAGCTTCAAAACAGGAGGGGAAATGGTTAGTTACTTAAAATTGCAGCCGTCAGTAAAGTCATCCTGGCAGGTACAATATTCAGTAATTAAAGACTTTCCCCTCTAGTCCTGCAGTTTCTACAAGTTCCTGACAGTGCATGGGATTACATAGGAGGCTTAGACAGAAGTAAAAAGTTTTATTTCTGAAAAATCACTGGTGGTCATGATATAATTAGCCTTATGTGTGTAAACTGTGACACAGGGCTTCAGCCAGTATGTAAAAAAATCAAATCAGAAATAAACATGACACTTTATTTCAGGTGCAGCCACTGTAAAAACCTGGCTCCCACTTGGGAGAGTTTGTCCAAAAAGAACTTTCCAGGACTGCTCGATGTCAAGATAGCAGAAGTAGATTGCACCACGGAACGCAGTGTTTGCAATAAATTTTCCGTAAGTGTGAGCATTATATTACTATTCATTTCCATTACATGTTGAAAATAATAAGCATGTGGTTTCTAAGTTGACAATCATCTTACAAAAAAAAACAATTTCCTGAAAATTACGGTTCATTTGTAGCACGTTTGCCTGGGAAGCTTTGTTCTAACTAAACTATAATCCTAATCTTAACTGCTTTTCCTGCAAACAACAAATAAAATAAACTTAATCTTCCATGTGGAGGAAGCCAATATAGGCAGCACTGATAGCTTGTGGCCCCTTCCACCAGAATGCAGGTATTGTTGTTGAAGACTAAGTTTCATCTCTGTAAAATTTAGACAGCAGTTATGTAGCCACATGCTCAGTGAGACTTAATTTTCCAGTAGATATAGCTGTACAGATCCAGATCACCACTAGGATGGACTTGTAAATCACTCTGAGCATTTTATACCTAGGAAACCCTGGAAGGCTTGCCGTAAGTCAGAATTGATTTACCACTATATATTGAGCAGTCAGCAACAGCTGTAATTTATTTCAACTTTTAGCTTGTTTTTCAGCAGTTGGTTAATTCTTGAGCCTTGCTTAAGTTTCGTGTTATAGGTATACGTAGCTATACTGTATAGATACACACTTACCCATAATATTAAGATTGTTAAATGTTGTGTTGCATGGTTTTATATCATTGATTTTACTGGAGTGTGGAGTGCAAGATAAATTACTGTGTTGTATAAGATTTCAAAACAACAAATAGCAGTAGTGGGGTCCTGTTTTTTGTTGATGAACACCTACTAGAAAATCAAGGTTAACATTAAGAAGGCTGGTGCTGCTGTCTTACATGCATTCTTTTCTTTCTTTTTGGAGGTCCGTGGCTACCCAACGCTGATGCTTTTCCGTGGTGGTGAGAAGGTGAGCGAACATACTGGAGCCAGAGATCTTGAAACCCTGCATAACTTTGTTTTACGGCAAGCAAAGGATGAACTGTAAAGATGTACCTGTGTGGATATGGCTTCTCCAGCTGTGTCTGTCTAGTAAATATGGAAGCTGAATCGTGGTAATGTTACTGGATTTCCAGTAGTGGTCATTTGGGAAACTGAATGTACTAAGATATGGTATCTTATCTCTCTGTGTTTGTATTTCTTAAAAGACTTCTATGTTGACCTCTAGGGAAGTATACAAAATGCACTCTTCAATCTTTGCAGTATTGTTTGTGTCAGTGAGGTCTTTCAGGAGGACATGTTAACATCAAAGGAATCAGCAGAGTTATGTTCAATCCCAGTTACACAAATTAGAAACTTAACACATTCATAGTCTTACATTATACTATTGAATGACTACTTTTTAAATTGTCTGGGTAAAAGATTCAAAGAAAGTTCAAAAGGAAAACACACATTTTAGGAAGGTACCTCTGACCCTTATTAGCTGCTTGCGCTTCCTGTACTTGATTGTTCTCATCCTGAGGGATGCACAAGGAAACATTAGGATACTGTAATGTATGCCTAGTTTTAATGAACCATGGTATCTATCAGCTATTGGGGTAGCCGTTAAACATGACAGTCCTATTCAGTAATTTGCAAAGAGATTTGGCTTCCATTTTGTAGACTCCCACATTCTTTTCAGTTACCAGCTAATGATTTTAAAAGCTGGGTTTTTTAAAGTACAGTGGTGCTTCACTTAACGAGCGCACCGTTTAACGACGAATCCGCATAGCGACGCGTTTTTTGCAATCGCTAATGCGATCGCATTGCGATGTTTTGAATGGCAAAACATCACATTGCGATGATCGGTAAGCGCATCGCGATGTTCTAAAAACAGCTGGTCAGTGGTTCCAAAATGGCCGCCGCATCAACAAAATGGCCGCCCGCAGCGTTTTCGTGCCGATTCCTCGCTTACCGAGGCAGCGAAAATGGCAGCCCTATGGAGGATTCCCGCTTAGCGGTGGGGTTATCCCCCATAGGAACGCATTAAACGGAGTTTAATGCATTACTATTGGAGTTTTAATTTCCATATAGCGATGTTTCCGGATAGCGATGATTTATCCGGAACGGATTATCGTTGCTATGCAGGGCACCACTGTATTTTGCTCTTTTTAGTCCCCTACTGAGTAATCAGGATCAGTTCCTTTTGTTATTCTTCGGTAAAGAAAGAATAACAAAAATTTAGAGTCCTTGAATTATCTTCTTTCTTCCCAAGTAACATAAACAGAAGAACCAAACTTAGCAGGTGGTCTGTCGTTTTCAGCAGGCTGTTCATTCCCCTTTACCCCTATTTCCAGTTTAGATGCCGCATGAGATAGAATTAAAGCCAAAGAACATGTAATATAGATACTGAATAAAGATTAAATGAGAAGTGCAAACTTGATGTTAAAGGTCATTCAAATTTGTATACCAACTTCTATTGCCATTTGGGAAAGAGCTGCAGGTTTGTACATACAAAGAGCCTTGTATGTAGAATAGTGCTATTGCCTGGCCTTTCTCAACCAGATGCCCTGCAAGTGTGCTGGATTGCCGCTCCTGTTGTGAGAGTTGTAGCCCAACATATCTAGAGGGTGCTAGGTTGGAAGAGGCTGCACGCTGCCATGTTGTCTCTATTGAAGAGATGCAGCTTTCCTTAGCCATGTCTGTTTCTTATCTCTGTACTGTAGCTTTGTCCTTTCTATTGACTGCCAAGGAATTTGTCTAGCACACATCAAGAGAGAAATGTGAAAAACTGGAAAGGTACCAAAAGGGCTAATCACATATGACAGAGGTATCAGATCAACACAAATGCTTCTGCCTTAAAGGGAGCCTTTATTCATGATGGCTTTGTAAAAACCTAATGAAGCACAATCTCATGAGCAGGCTGCTGTAACTCATGAGTTTCTTGTACAAAACTGAGTGGTACAATTGTTTACACAAACAGTTTCTGAATAAAATCATCTTTTTTTTACAAAAAAACAGACCCACGTTTGGTCTTGCTAAATAGTACATAAAAATCAATATATCTGGAGGTTGCAATAAATTATAATACTCATCTATTTACAAAAGACTTTTCAAATTGCAAAGTAGTCAAAGGGAAGTGCACTCTTCTGAATTCTCACCTTGGGGGAAAAACATTGTGTAAATTCAGATTTCTGATGTAAGTATCACATACATTTTAAATTCATTTTCCTTTGGTGGTAGCCAGGTTAGTCTGTTCAGATTTCTCAAGGGTGAGAGGAGAGCCTCTGTAAAGTATGGACAAGTGCAATGAGAGATACACTTCTGATCTCCATTAGATCAGAATTTGTTAATATTCTTAACTGAGCATTCCCTTGGCCCCCTGGAAAGTGCAAAACAACTCATCTGCATATTTTGTCCTGCAGCCTTATATCCCACCCACACTCTTCCACCTTGTGTTGTTCAGAAGCACAAATGGGATAACACAGTTCTCTTTGTCCAGGCTGCTATTAATTGGCAATAACTAGGGTGATCTCTTTTCTCTTGTTTAAAAGGCCAGAAAGATTTATATAAAGGGAGTTTTTACCATTTGAGAAATCTCTGTTTTAGCCTCTGTCTTGAGGATGCCTTTCAGGCATAACAAAACTTTACAGTGGGTAGTCCCACAGAATATATTTTTACTGTTCATTGAAGGGGCCAGAATTTGTGTGTACGCACATATATGTGCATTTAGTATTGATAATGGTGGTAGCACTAAGAAAAGTTGGATCAGAATTAGCAGCAAGATACAGCTGGAATGTGAGCATAATTGCTTGTAGAACACTTGTCCCTCAGGCTGATGGCAATGCTCCTTCTAGAACAGCAGACGATTTGGTAGCTTTGTGTTTTAATCACTTTTGCAATAGTCAGACCAGAAGGGCACATTGCCAGCTATGTTTCTTGTTGATAATGAAGAAATACATGGCTTAACACGGCAAATGTCTTCATTACTTAACCTTCTTGGAGGAAACCTATGTGCAGCCATTCACTCGGTGCAAGACACTTCTTTGACATAGTAATCCTGAAGGCTTGACCTATAGTTGCATGTCTTTAAAGATAAGTATTGCAATGTGTGGATTGAGCTTTACTTTGAATAGTGCATTCTGTTGCTCAGCACAAACTCCTCATTCTTCATATTACGGCACAATCATTGATGGATTTGATGGATCTTTGCTTAGTGAGACTGAATTGTAATTCAAACAGAAGGCTGGCTTTTGTCTGCATATTTGCTCCATTAACCCAATTCATACCTTGCATATTGTGCTGGTGTTTTTAGACATTGCAAAACCAAGAAGCCACCATTGTGCAAACATTTTAGAAGTTAACATGTAACACTGCAGTTCCTGCTTTTCTTTCATTTCTTTCAATTCTTCCGTAAGGCACAAATCCTGCTCTAGAAGCATTAGATTTTCTGTCTGAATAAGTGGCTATAAATTATATACTTGAATGGCACTTCTGTAAAGAATGTCTTGTCAGTGACATCCACAAGCTCTTACCACCATATTCCTATATTTTTTCAAAATGACATTGGAATTATCATCAAAGTAAAGAACTGATATTGCCTGAAGTTTTGTAGGAGCACAACATGGCTTGGGAACATTTTCTGGATTCATAAGGTGAACCTGTTTAAAGAAAGAGACAACTTTATTAATGGCTTAATCTCAACTCATATCTATCTAGCACATATGTAGCTTAGAATTATCTAAAGAGTTGTTCTTCTCATGGATACTTTATCCACTGCAAATGATGATTTTCTATGTAGTATGCTCTTTGCCACCACCACCTCTTTTATCAAGGAACTACCACAAAGATTCTCACACTACCATGTTCTTGATCGTGATTCCACCACCCTCACCCATTGCAATTTAGAAATTAAACATCTGTTCATGGTATTTGAACTGAAGTGTTCTGGCATCAAGTGTAGTTGTTCCCTAACATGAACTGACCAAGAAAAAATTCAAGAAGTGTAAGTTTTACATTAGGTCTAGTAGGCATGCCTTTGGAACTGCAACAGAAGGTGCCTATCTCTGGACTAGATCGGATGGAAAGCTCTTTAATCTCTCTAGATTGAAAGCGAAGACCAATGTCCAGCTGAAATGGATGCAGGACTTCCTCTTCGCCAATGATGCAGCCATTGTTGCCCACTCTGCTGAAGACCTCCAACAACTCATGAATCGTTTTAGCAAGGCCTGCCAAGACTTTGGACTAACAATCAGCCTGAAGAAAACACAAGTAATGGGCCAGGGCGTGGACTCACCTCCCTCTATTACCATCTCCATGCAAGAATTGGAGATTGTTCATGACTTTGTGTACCTTGGCTCTCTGACACTGTCTGCCTAGATGTCGAGCTGGAAAAATGCATTGGCAAAGCAGCTACCATGTTCTGTAGACTCACAGAGTATGGTTTGATAAGAAGCTGATGGCATATACCAAGATCCAGGTCTATAGAGCCTGTTTCCTGAGCACACTTCTATACTGCATTGAGTCCTGGACCCTTTGTGCACGGCAGGAGAGGAAGCTGAACACGTTCCATATGCATTGTCTCCGATGCATTTTTGGTATCACCTGGCAGGATAAAGTTCCAAATAGAGTCATCCTAGAACGAGCTGGAATTTTTAGCATGTAGACATTACTGAAACAGCAATGTCTACGTTGGCTTGGGAATGTTGTGAGAATGGCTGATGGTCGGAATCCAAAATATCTCCTGTATGGTGAATTAGTATAGGGAAATCGCTCCAGAGGGAGACCACAGCTGCAATACAAGGACATCTGCTAGTAGGATCTGAAGGCCTTAGGAATGGACCTCAACAGATGGGAAACCCTGACATCTGAGCGTTCAGCCTGGAGGCAGGTGTTGCATCACGGCCTCTCCCAATTTGAAGAGACACTTGTCCAGCAGGCCGAGGCAAAAAGGCATCACGAAAGCAGCAAAATCAAGGAGCTGCACAGGGGACATATTGTATTTGTCTTCAGTGTGGAAGGGATTGTCACTCTCGAATTGGCCTTCTCAGCCAAACTAGATGCTGTTCCAAGTCCTCCATGCAGAGCACGTTACCATAGTCTCCTGAGACTGAGATGCCTAGTCTAGCTCCAAACTGTTCTACCTTTCAAACAGACATCTAAATTGTGGTTGCTTGGAAGAAGGCAGGACCGGAAGGCCTCATGATACAGGATAGGCTTAACTCAGGCCTTATTTCCTGTTGGAAAAGCTGTCTCCAGTGGTCGCTGGAAATTCCAAAGCTCTATGAGAGCTGCAAAGAATTATAAGACTAGGCATTTTCTGAGTTATCCTTTGCATGAGTAGAGATATTACTGGTTCCATAACCTTTTACATCTCCCATGGAGCTTTATCACTTACAGCCATTTCTTTCTTCTTCAGAAGCAAATTATGGTGGATCTAGAGACCCACATATGACTAAGGGAACTCCTCTGTGGACTTGACTTTTTTAAACACAGCTCCTAGAATTCTGGCTGGGGGACCTCATGGTGAATTCCAGGGGCTTCAGTGCAAAAGATCTGGAAGTTTTTGCCTAGCAGAAAGTTCTGTTCAAAGTAATGGTGCAATTTGCAACTCATGCAACTGCATGCCAGAGACCAGAAGAGAATGTGGAGTGCTCCAACCATGGAGCCAATGCATTTGATCAAAACAAACAGGATACCGGCCAGTGCCTCTAGGGCAGTGGTCCCCAACCTTGGGCCTCCAGATGTTCTTGGACTTCAACTCCCAGAAATCCTGGCCAGCAGAGGTGGTGGTAAAGGTTTCTGGGAGTTGTAGTCCAAGAACATCGGGAGGCCCAAGGTTGAGGACCACTGCTCTAGGGCACTGTAGACTAAACTAGTGATCCTTTCCTTTTAAGAAGCAACAAATGTGCACATATAGCAAGTGCAGTAGGACTAGCTGTTCTTTAAAAAATTCAAAGGAGGTGTCCAATGTTTTAGATCTTTTAAGTCTCTGAAGCAGAGTGGCAACTATTACAGTTTTCTGCAATACATATGTGTAAAGCTACTGAGGTAATAGCACCAGAAAATGTGATGCTCTTGCAGGCCAGAGAGAGAGAGAGAGAGAGAATGCAATTCCTACTCCTTGTTTTCCAGGATAAAACAAGCAAGGTTTGGCATCCCTGTGGTGATTACACCTTTGGTTCCCACGCCCTGTTTAATACGTTGATTTTTTAAAATGTGTAATTCCATGTTACCCACCCTGCAAGTGAAACTCTCCTTGGCCATCCTCGGCTGCAGAAGACCAACAGGAAAGCTGGAAAAATTATTATTTGTCTTGTGTCATATTGTGCAAGAGATAAAAAGCTAACTGCTTAATCCTCCCAAACCAACAGTTATTATACAGTAATTTCAGTGGACAAAAGGCAAAGTGAGCTGCTGGTTAACAGTTATGGGGTTGTCGTCATCACTATTTTCAAATTACAATAATAGCAATGACAAATATGATGATAATGTCTATTTATTATACAACTTTTTCTAAAAGAGAACTCAATGCAACTTAGAGACAAAATGAGCAGAAAATTTACAAAACAAATTACTCACCAGAGTTTGCACAATGGCATGATTGGTGGCGTTCATGTGAGCATTGAGTGGAAAAGAGCATTCTCCATCACAGTAGTTTGCTGCATAACCCTTCGGTGCAATTATCCAGTCCTTAATAAGAATGTTACATGTATCATATATGTGTCTATCACCATATATAATAATTTAGGTTGTTTTTTTTCACAACTGAAAGTGTGCTGAATGTTGCAGAAGCCACTTATCACACTACAGAATATACCACAATTAGGGAAACCTTTTCATTTCATTACACCTAGAAGGATTATATGCCAGCTTTACTGTTCTGTTGGCACTTAAACAGTCCTGAACTTTCCATGCTTTTCCTGGGCATGTTTTTGTTTGTGCAGTTCCCATCTGCCAGTCCCTTTTTTTGCCATGTGCAAGGAAGTGTGGATGCCCAGCAATATCATTCATATTGGACCATTCTCCTGAAAGCAGCTTAAAATGTATGGTTATGGTAGATCACATACTGAACCACTGTTGAATTGGGTTCTCCACTTCCTTAGATCATGATGGGAAAAAGTTATGATTTGACCCATTTTTCAAATACATTTCACAATAGCATTTGGAGTTCTGATCTATATGTATTAACAGAACATTCAGCTTATGCACAAAGCTATGGAAACTTCCCTGAAGGTTTTTCCGAATATAATGAGCTGGAATCAATTCACATGCAAATCTATTCACTGTCAGTATATGAAAAATGGAAACAATCTCTGGCAAAAACCATATAGGGCTTTAAATACAACTGAAGTGCAAAGTGTTTTAATACTGAATTATCCAACACACATCTCATGGAACATTTGTTGTTGTTTAGTCATTAAGTCATGTCCAACTCTTTGTGACCCCATGGACCAGAGCACACCAGGCCCTTCTGTCTTCATGGAACATTACATAATGAATATTGGAAGATACGTTGGTATAGCAGAGCAAAGAGGTTAAAAGGATCAGATCTCTCTTTTTCCATTGGTCATCATGAGAAATCTAACCGGAATTAGTAAAAGAAAAGAATAATGGTTCTTATTCTTTAATTTACTAGTTAAACCAGCAAAATATGCCTGAGTATGAAAAACAAAGTAATTAAAAAGAGTGGAAGCCATCTATGGTGAGAACTATACAAAGTTTAAAAGTTATCATCAGAAGCCAAATTCAATGAGCCTTGAAAGTGAATTGGCCAACACATAACAAAATCATGAAAAAAGGAAGATGTCAGATGAAATTGGTAAATATTGGGGATATTCTAGCAAAGAAACATAAATTAAACACATCTAGCTCTTGATTTATCCAAAATGGACTGTGACAAGCATCCTAAAGACTACCCTAATTTTAGTCAAGTTAGCTACAATAAGTGGTTTGTCTTAGATTTCAATTAATCTGTTTTATGTTTTAATTGTTTTTGCTTTGTTTGAGTGCATAATTAGCTGTTCTGAGTCCCATATTTGGGAGAAAAAGGCAGAGGCCAATTAAAAACATTAGTGCCAGCAGGACCCCAATGTATGGCAATAAGAAGGCTGACATCCATTTAGAACTCAGTGTTCTAAGAAAGAAAATCTTATGGCAATATTTTGAATACTGTTTGAGAAGCCTATATATGAGGGGTAGATATACCACATACCTGCCATCCCAAGTCTTGGAAGCTGACATAAAGTTCATGCTTTCTGCATGCTGTTTTTAGGTCACTGCTGTTGTAATCTGTTAGGAAGGATTTAAATGGGAAATATAATGTTGGAAATGATACCTTCAGAATTATATTGCTATCATGCAGCAGAAGACATTTTGTGGATTTAAAGAATTATGGTGAACTTGCAAGAACACAGTCTTTCCCAAATTTCTGTTTGAAATTAATAGAAAGTTCTCCTCATGAGGTTTTAACCAGCTCCATATTGAGCACAACTAGTCTTCCTTGCCTCCTTATTGTTGTTCTGTTGACTAGGACAAAGTCCCTTTTATTGCCTGTATTCTGTGAACTGACAGATACGAATGCCCTCCATTTCTCTTCCAAATCCCAGTTAACTGCATGAAGAGAAGTGGGCATGGCAATATGGGACTTGGGTTTGAGACAGTGTTTTAGACACAGCAAGTTGGATGAGATGATATTGCTAAATTTCATGGACTGAAGGAATCTTATTTTGAGGCAGAAGGAAAATTAAAACTTTGAAGTTAGCAAGAGTTTTAATGAGAGAGCAATTGCCAAACATCCCCATCAAAGATGGGCAGGCTTAAATTGGTATGTTATGTGCTGCCAAGTAAATCAACTTACAGCAACCCTAGCAGGCCTTTCAAGGTAAGAGAGATATTGAAGGGGTGATTTTACCAGTTCCACATCCAGGACTGGGAGGGGAAAATTCAAACCAGGGGTTTCTGAATCCTAGTCTGTCACTCTGTCCACTACACCAGTGGTCCTCAACCTTGGGCCTCCAGATGTTCTTGGACTTCAACACCCATACATCCTAGCCAGCAAAGGTGGGTGTGAAGGCTTCTGGGTACAGAAGTATATTATTTCAAGTGAAGCAGATATAAACAATGGTAATTTGTTTCTCCTACTTCAACCCCAACTCAAGATGTGCAACCAATGTGAATTCCTCTCCAAACTAAAACATGAGGTCTCTTCTGTGGCAGAAACTGGAAGCATGTTAGAATATTATAGAATGGAATTAGAATAATAGAATGAAATTAACCCCTTCTCTCTTCCTTGGAGATGTTCTAAGACTTCTTTCCAATGAAAACATGGCAGAGTGTTTAGTAACACTTCTCCAATACAGAGACACAACAGTACTCAGAAGTGTTTTACCACCCGCTCCTCCTGGTAGCAATTTGGGACTGTGCAGCTGTAATTTGGGACTGCCTGCAGCTTGCCCAAAGCCAGATAGGTGAGAGGGCAAATTAATCCCATTGGTGTTCTTGACTGGTTTCAGGAGGCACAGAGGAGATTCCAACCCTTGGCTGCTGGCTGTGCAGTCAGGCACTCTAACCCACTGAGCTACTGCCAGGCTTAAATATCCTCAAACAGACCACTGACAAAAGATGAAAAATAAATATAACTTCAAATAGGCATGCCTACTGTCTCTACCAGACATGGGAGATTCATCTTCATCTCAATCTCACTGGCACAGGTGGCAGGCCCAATTAACACCCACCCCAGAACCTGCTGGTCCACTTATCACATGCTATGCAGCATGCGTGGCTGGTGTAATCAAGAGCACACCAATCACAGCAGTAGCCTGCCAGGTGCTGCCCCTCCTCCTGGCTCAGCTGACTCCTCAGCGGTTGAGCAGGGAGACGAATCATCTCACCCCCTCACCGGAGTGGTCTGCCAAACAGAGACTCAGAGCAGCACTGAAAGTATCAAAAGTTCAGATTGCCCCAGACTTGGAGCTGATTTCCCATTTGAAGACTGGTGCCAGGAACCTGTTCTCAGAAATCCTGAGAGAATGTTTACTGAAAGCACTCAGGGCTGGGACCTAACACAACTCCTTTGTGCAAAAATACTTTGAATATGCCTTACAAAACTGTATGCTAATTCCCTGGAGATGCAAGGCAAAATGTTCCCCTTTCTAAAGGACTGATGCACTATTACTTTATTTAAAGCAAATCTGTTTTTTATTATTA